AGGCACTGTCAGAGATGTAGTTACTTCTCTGGTTTTTGCCTTCACGTAGAGTTTGGCCAGGAAATTTTTAGTCTCTTATCAGCTGCTCGAGCCTTTAAAGAACCTTTTTGTTGTCTTTTTTAAAAAATTATCTACCATTTAAAATTGTTTTCAGTATCACCAGTTTTATTCACTGTCCTATTACTGAGAAGCATTTAATTAGGGGCTTGCTTACAGTTTCAGAAGGTTAGCCCATGAGCATCATGGTGGGAAGCAGACAGGCATGGCACTGGAGCAGTGGCAGGGGCTTTACATCCTCATCCACAGGCAGCAGACAGAGAGACAGAGACAGAGATACAGACAGAGAAACAGAAAGAGGCAGACTGGGCATGGCATGGATTTTTAAAACCTCAAAGTCCACCCCCAGTAAAACATTCCCTCTAACAAAAACCACACCTAATCTTTCCCAAACAATCTACCAACTGATGACTAAGCAGTCAAGTATATGAGTCAATCAGGGCCTTTCTCATTTAAGCCACCACACATCAATAGCCCCTGATGCCTGCTTTCTTTTCATTTTTTTACTCATTTTACCAATAAGGCCTTCCTTAACAGCACTCAAAAAACGCTCCTGTATCATCCCCATCTCCCTTTGTCTTCTCTTCCTTCAGAGCAGTTATCAGTTATCACCTGTAAATTCACTAATTTCCTATCTAACATGCACAGAAGTGTTAAGCATAAAGGGGCTGGTCTAGTCACACTACCTGACAGCTCCAAGCAGACAATAAACATCCAGTACTTGTTGGGCCAGTAAAGGCAATCTCCACTGTGCCCCTGATCCACATATCCCACTGAATATCTAGTATTTTCCCTTGTGATCAAGTAGGGCTTTGGTCTTCATGCAGACAAAACAGAACTTAAGCTTTTCAGTCAACGCAGTCTTCTCTGTTCTATCCCACTCCAGTCTGTGGAATCACTTTAAGTTACTAACATCAGAAGCTTGAGTCATGTGATTGAGTCATCCTTTTCCTCAAAATGGGCATCCAAGTAGCAACTGGGTATTCAGATTAAACTGGAAAAGCACACCTCAACTCCATCCTCTTTCCACCCCTACAGCCATCCCTTAATGGCAATCAGAACACTCTTTAAATTTTTACATGTTTCAGTTCAAATACCTTGCCATCCATGCTCCCAAAAGACCTCATGATTTCTGCTTCTTCATAGCTCTCTAGTCTTTCCTCTTAAATGACCCTCTTTATTGACAAGATGCACTGGCTCCATTCTATCCTTCAAGTCAGAAAAACTTTCCCAAGTCTTCCAGATCTTATTCTTTCTACCCAGAATGCTCATTCTTCCTGATCAGCATGCCTAGCCACCTCATCACTAACCGTCAGTCATTCTGTACCGCTGTCCTCTACATGTCCATCCAACACGGTGTTATCACAATTTCTGAAGTTCTTGAAAGGGATTTTAATGATGGAGGGTCTCTATGCAATGAGACACTGGGCCTGTGAGATTTTCTGCCTCTCACAGTGGTGAAAAGATTTTTGTTTTTATGCCTCTTAGAAAAGCCTGGGCCAGCTGGGCGGTGGTGGCACACGCCTTTAATCCCAGCACTTGGGAGGCAGAGCCAGGTGGGTCTCTGAGAGTTTGAGGCAGCCTGGTCTACAGAGCAAGATCCAGGACAGGCACCAAAACTACACAGAGAAACCCTGTCTCGAAAAAAAAAGAAAAGAAAGGAAGGAAGGAAGAAAAGAAAAGAAAAGAAAAGAAAAGAAAAGAAAAGAAAAGAAAAGAAAAAGCCTGGGCCATCAGAGCAGGAAAGCTTGCAGTTCTCACCCAGTGACTAATGACTTCAGCTTTGTACAAAGTCTATGGAGAGGAGTGTTTTCTGCTCATCACCCAGGCATTAGGTCAACTGTCCCTACTTTCATGCTACTGAGGGGGACTCTCCTGCCCCAGTCTTTCTCATGAGCACTCCCTGAAGTCTGTAGAAAGGAGCCCAAGTGAATGTGAGCAAATGTCATGTCAGGGCCTTTTCTCAACTAACAGCCTTCATACACCTGGCATTTCCCACTCATTTTATTCATGGTGCTGGGGAGAGAACCCAGGACCTTATACATGCCCGGAAAGCATTCTCCATTTAGTTCTATCCCCATCCTACCCTCCCCTTCAACAGGATCTTGCTATGTCGGTGAGGCTGTCCTCTCCTCACTCTCTGGCCTCCACCTCCAGGACTGGGATTACAGGCGTCACTGTCCTTTAAAGCATGAACATTTTCAGTTTCCATCCTAATCCTCTAAGTCTTTCACATGCCTGCCATTATTCTAATCTATCTTTTCTGGGGCATAAAATTTAAGGCCTAGGAAGCCAGCATCCCCTCGGGCACATTAGCATGGCTGTCCAGTATGCGGACACTAATCGCTCTCTAGAACGGGCACACTAAACACCCACTATGAAGTGTTCGTGTTCCTTTAAGCTTGAGGCTCCTTCCTTGAAGCACATCCCTGTCTGTGCACCCTCTGCTTGAAACCGGGGGCGAAGAAAAATGCAGGTATCTGTAGTCTGATCAGCGTTCACTGACAAGAGTAATAAAGTCCTTGCCAACACTGTCTGGTAAAGCTAATTTATTTGCAGGTGGGACAGAAATGCCAACTCGTTTCTTCTTGCTTTGGTGTCAGCCTCCTACTCTTGCCAAGCAGTGCCTGGGTCCTGTTTTCCTTTGAAAGGGCTTACCATTCTTCAGAATTCAACTCCCTTGATTTTCTCTGATGCCTTAAGGAAGACTGTGGCTTCTTTTTTTCTTGCTAGGATAAAAGAAAATATGGGGCTGGAGATTTGGCTCAGTCATGAAGGGCACTTGAACTTTTCTTGCAGAGGATAGGGTTCAGTGCCCAGCACCTTCATGACAATTCACAACTACCTATAACTCCAGCTCCAGGGAATCCAATGGCCTCTCCTGGCCTCCTCCTGCTCCCATGTGGTACACATAAATTCATGCAGGCTCACATACAGACACATAAAGAGTCTTAAATGAAAACAGCCTTACAGCTTCCTACTCCTTGGTTTGGAGAACAAGTCTCAAGCTGTCCTTAATTGTTTTTTAGTACCAAAGACAGACACTGATCTGCACATGTGATTTCTTCAGCTTAAAAACGCTGAGTTTTTAAAGCCACTTCTGTGATTATCTCCGGGAGTTACCCAAACAGCCTACTGAACATTTCATCACAAGGGTTGAAAGCTACGGACTCAACAGTACTGCCTGAACATAGATGAGGCAGGAGAGGGTGAGATTCCAACTCACAGGCCATTACAGAGAGTGTATGTCCATACTGGATAAGGGCACACACAGGAACATAAAAGCCACTTGAGAGAAAAGGCATTTGGAGATCTCAAAAACAGGTGAGACGCTGTGGCAAAGGGCCTACACAGGTCTGATAGGGGAACAGAGGGTGATATCGCCACTCTAGGCTTTCAACTTCCTTTCCACACTCACACTCGAGTTTCAGCCTCAACAAGACTGATTCCTTCTGTGAGTTTACCTCCTCAACACTGAAGAATTCTTGTTAGGGCTGTTGCTTAAAGAACTTAGCCACCCCCTAACCAAGGCTTTTCCTGGACTCTCCTGAGCTGGAGAGATAAAAAACCTGTTGAGCTACCTACTACACGAGCTCCCCACACAGTTCCCAGAACAGTGCCAGTCTTCTCAAAACCTGTTTAATTTTTCTTTAGATGCTGTGAGTGCCCAGTAATCCTGTTTGCTTAAACTTGCCAAAGCTGAGATTCTGCTGCTTGGATAAGTGGTCCAAGAGAAAAAGGGGAGGCCAAGGGGAGCACATGAAGACAGCCTGCGATGCAAAATCACAAAAGGAGCAGGTACCGATCGATGGATGTCCAAGTGCAGATACATTATGAAGAGTCGTGTTTCTGTGTGTCCAGTTAACGAGCATGTCAATGATCAGGATGGTATTAAGCGTTCACCCACATACCTCCTTCATTAGAAATAAGTGAGAATGAAGGACATGAGTAGGCCACAACATGCTACTGGGGAAAGTCAAGGAAGGGTGATGACAATAGCAAACCTTATCTATCTATGCTACCACAAAACACACTGTTAAGGGTTTACTGAAACATAGCGGTGAAACTCAAGTCATGAGATTCATTTGTACTATGCAGGTCACACGTGTAGAAAATGTAATGAACAAGACAACCCACAAAGAGGAATTACAGCCGGGCACCAAATCCTATGTTTTCAACAAACACCTCAGAGAATCCGCAGTGCAGCAGTGAGCCGGATCAGCTGCAGACACATGAGATGAGCCCAACAGCGTGTGATTTCAGATGAACAACTATTGTACTGTCCTGGACTCTCATTGTAAAAGGCAAGTCCTATAGACCAGCTACTTTGTCCCTAGCTAAAAAGGGTAGATTTCAGGCATGACTCAGATAAAGCAGCCTCTTTTTTTTCCTAGAAGATAGTGGCAGAATATTTAATTCCTGTTTAATCTGAACCTTAGCAATCTAACTTAAAGAGATAAGAGCTCATTTAAGACTCTCTTACAATGTATGCAGATACATAAAGTTGTACACACACACTTAAAAGGCACATATATGTACACAAAAGGAGAGATGCAACACATACAATAAAATACATGTGTATGTATGTATACATACAGAGATGCACACACAGATTTACATATATTCTAAGTCCTTTTGTGGGGACTTTCAGTGCTTTTTGGAGGTTTTATAAAAATTGGGGCCGGAGAAATGGTTCAGCAGATAAGAGCACTGGCTGTTCTTGCAGAGGACCCTGGTTTGGTTCCCAGCATCAATCAACAATGGCAACTCACAACTATCCATAACTCCAGTCCCTAGGGATCCAATGCCCTCTTCTGACCTCTGTGGGCAACACACAGGCATACACGTAGTACATTTACACACATGCAGGCCAAACACTCATACACGTAAAATACAAACAAATACAAATAAATCCTTAAGAAATTAATTTATAATAATCAGAGTAAGACAGCCATTCATTTTTAATGTAACATAGAAGACACTGCGATCCCACTGTGCTAAGTGGACACAGGATTAGGAAGCCGTGGCACTCCTGACATTACGGGAAAGACTATTCTTTGATGGGGGAAGCTCTCCAAGTAGGGTGCTTAAGAGCACCCCAACCTCTGTACTATGATGTCAGTAGTATCCCTAAGTCACGGTACTGAAACTGTCTCTTCATGTTGACAAACATCCCTAGGGGCAGAACTGGAAAGTACTGGTTTCCAGGACTACAAGAAAAGAAATACAACTGCCAGCTATGATTCCACTGTAGAGTCAATGGTGATGCAGTAGAGTTACACCCCAGTTTTGATTCAAATACACATCATGGCTAGAACTAGGTGAATTATACTGGTGTTTGTCTGACAGTGAGCGACCCAATACAACAGTCACATAACACCTGTGACAAATAAGCCCTGGAAACATGGCTCTCTTTAGTGAGGGATGGCATTGAGTACAAAAAAAGCACTGTATTTTGAGGAATTCACATAGAAAAAGTAAATCTCTCAGCATCTTTATATTAATTAAGCTATCTGGGTTTACTTACTGGATGAAATACAGTTTAAACCAATTTTACCTGCTCATTTTATGGTTTTGAAGTGTAGCTACTAAGAAACTGTACATATGTGATTTGTACTGCAATCCATTGAACGGCACGTGTCTAGACATGACATGATTTAGTATTATTCCTTAACAGAATCAACCTTGAGTTTCTCGGGCCACAGAGAGGCCAGCCCCAGAGGTCCGATCATAACTCCTTGTGGAGCTGCAGAGGCTCTTCCGCTTCTTTCGGCCAGTTACTCTTGTTCCAGCGCTTTATCCTGAGCATCTCAACCGGCTCTCTTCTGGCTGTTGATTTACCTCCCTGTGGCTGCTCAGCACTCTCCCGCACCTCTGCTTCATTCATACACTCCGGAACTTTCTTTGCAGGAGCTTGAGATGTAGGAGCATCCATCATACTTAGAAAATCAAAAGCTGGAAGAGGAGGTTTCCATTCCTGAGCCGATAAAATCGCTGAAAGGAAGAGACAACCAAGCAAATTAACAATTAACAGAGATGAAATCACCGTATGAATATAGCTACAAAGTGTTTTATTTTGAAATGCGTATTTGTAGGAAGGTCTTATTAGCCATCCCCATTTGCATTTGTGGCTATATAAGGAGGGTATATAGATACTTTCCAGGGTGCATGTAGAGGCCAGAGGAGAAGTCCATTGTCTTTATTGCTTTCGACCTTATTTTTTTGAGACAGTCTCTCACTGAATGTGGTTTGCCACTTTGGCTGACCAGCAAGCTCCTGGGATCGGCCTGTTTCCATCCCTCAGTACTGGGGTTACAGATACAGCAGCCATGCTCGACTCTTATGCAGGCGCTGGGATCTGAACTCAGACCTCTTGCTTTCACAACAAGTGCTAAAGCATCTTTTCAGCCTCTAGTTTCATATTTTAGCATTATATTCACACTCTACTAATTTTTCTACAGTGATTAAGTGTTAATAAGAACAAAAAAATATTGTATTGCCAGCTAACCCTTGTTGGGAATTAAAAAACAAGTAAAATGACAGACAGACAAGTACAAGTTAAAATATCAAGTTTCTTGCTTCCCTCTCCAGTCTTTTTAAAAAAAAAATCTGTTTTATTGTTCAAGATAAGTAAATCGCTGAGCAGTGATGGCACATGCCTTTAATCCCAGTACTCAGGAGGCAGAGGCAGGCAGGTCTCTGAGTTTGAGGCCAGCCTAGTCTACAGAGTGAGTTCCAGGACAGCCAGGGCTACAAAGAGAAATCGTCTCAAAAACAAAAACAAACAAACCAGCAAAGTAAATCTAGCATTCGCCACTGCACTTCAGCAGACACACATCACAGAAAGACAGAAAGACATGCCGCTACCGTCGCCTCCCCCATGAGAGCCTGGTCAGGATGTAAAATCTACCACCAATCACTAAATCACCATGAAAAACGCAGTGTCAAATCAAAGGATTGGGCTAGGTAACTAGAGTTGGACACAACAGCACCATGCTAGAACATTCCAAAAATCACTGAAACAAATGCAAACTGTAAACGTCTGACTTGATTAAAGAGATAAGAATGAGGCTCAACATGAAGAACTTCAGATTTCATGCAGTTAGTGCATGTCTTACTTTGTGGGGGGGCTTTGTTGTTCTTGCTTTGTTTTGTTTTGTTTTTTGTTGTTGTTATAATATACTAGCTGAGTTTGGGTCATTTACAAAGAAAAGTTTATCTGGGCTCATGGTTCTAGAGTCTGGGAAGTTCAAGGTCAGGGAACAGCATCTGGAGAGAGCCCCAGAATGCTTCAATTTAACTGTGGAAGCAGAAGGGGAATGGGTGGATGGAGAAAAGAAAGGAGGCTCCATTCCTAGAGGAGCTAATCTATTCCCCCAATGAAAGGAATTAATCCATTCACGGGGGCTCTCCCTCAGAACCCAATGCCACTTACTAGGACCCACCTTCCAACACAGCCAAGTGCTGATCAAATTTCCATTTGTGTTTCAAAGTAGACAAACCATAGCAAGAGAGGTATACTATGATTTAAACTAGTTATAGTTAAATTGAAGAGCCAGGAATGGTGGTGCAAACCTTTAATCCCAGCACTCAGGAGGCAGAGGCAAGCAGATCTCTTTGTGTTTGAGGCCAGTCTGGTCTACAGAGGGAGTTCCAGGACAGCCAGGGTTACATAGAGAAACTCTATCTCCAAAAATTACAAAATTATATAAAAAAAAGCTTTAAGAAAAAATAATTTATAAAATTGATCAGAAGAAAACAGTCACGTGTAAAGCAGTAATTCAGGGCTGGAGAGATGGCTCAATGGTTAAGAGCACTTGCTGCTCCTCCAGAGGACCCGAGTTCTAGTCCCCAGTGCCCACACTGGATAGCTTACAACTGTTGCTAACTCCAGTTCCAGGGAACCCAACCCCTCTTCTGATTTCTGAGGGCTCCCGAATGCACATAGCGCACACAATACACTCAGCTGTGCACACCCTTAAACATAGTTGTAACAGAACCCCAGACTTAGCAGACCCCGAGATCTTAGCACAGTTGACTCCATGATGGAAGTACCATTCAGGCTATAAAACTCAGCATGTGGACAGCACCACCTGCCAAAACCAAAACAAAGACCTAATCCATCCAAGTCCGGGAAAGTCTCTAAAGGTACTAACCCTGCGTTTTGACTTCCGTAGTTCCACTTCAGGCTGATTGTTGTTGTTAACTGAAGTATGTCAACCCAGGACATAGTTTCTGTGCTTAAAAGCTCACCCTGAGAAAGGCTCAGGGCTACACTGGGATTCCAAACACTCACTGTAGTTACTGGCCAGCTAATAAAGACTTTCTATTGACTTAAACCCATGTCTGCGCAGTCTTCTCTGAGGGATACCCCACACAAAGTAACAATTAAGAAATCATCCATAAACACATGAACTATGAACCAATGGCTGAGGGGTCCCCAACTGGATCAGGCCCTCTGAATGGGTGAGACAGTTGATTGGCTTGATCTGTTTGGGAGGCATCCAGGCAGTGGGACTGGTTCCTGTGCTCATTGCATGAGTTGGCTGTTTGAAACCTGGGGCCTATGCAGGATTGCTTGGCTGGGCCTGAGAGGAGGGGACTGGACCTACCTGGACTGAGTCTACCAGGTTGATCTCAGTCCGCGGGGGAGGCTTTGCCCTGGAGGAGGTGGGAATGGGGGGTGGGCTGGGAGGAAGGTGAGGGGGGCTGGAGGGGGGAGAACAAGGGAATCCGTGGCTGATATGTAGAACTGAATTGTATTGCAAAATAAAAATAAAAATAAAAAAAAAAAAAAACAAAACAAAACAAAAAAAGAAATCATCCATATATACAATCCATCACATCCATTTAGTAAACTAATGTCTTAAAATTGTAGATTAAACCCTTAAAATTACAAACATCACCCACTCTAGTCTTGTCCTCCTAAAAAGCATCCTGTCTTAATTTTATTTATTTTATGAGACAGAGGTGGTCTCACAGTGCAGCTTTGGCTGTCCTGGAACTCGCTATGTAGAACAGGATGGCCTCAAGCTCAGAGATCTACCTGCCTCTACTTCCCAAGTGCTGGGACTAAAGGTGTGCACCACCACCACACCTGGCCTTCTATTTTGTTTTTAAACATTTTTTTAAAATGTGTGTGTGTGCATTTGGCTAGTTTTATGTCAACTTGGCATAAGCTAAAGTCATCTGAGGGGAGGGAACCTCAATTAAGAGAATGCCTTCATAAGATTGGGCTTTAGGCAAGCTTTTGAGGCATTTTCTTAATTAGTGATTAGCCCTCCATGGCCTCATGGCAGCCCTGCCTCTGGGTTCCTGCCCTGCTGACTTCCTTTAATTATGGACTATGATGTAGAAGTGTAAGACAAACCCTTTCCTCCCCAAGCTGTTTTGGTCCTGGTGGTTATCACAGCAAAAGAAATCCTAAGAGTGTGTGTGTGTGTGTGTGTGTGTGTGTGTATGCACGCACACATACATATGTGTGGGTGCAATGGAGGCCAGAAGTAAACTATGGTGTCTGTAATATCTTCTTCAATGACTCCCCTTATTTTTTAATCACGGTCTCTAGAGCTCACTGACCAAGCAAGCATGCTCATCTCTGCCTCCTCAGCAATGGGATTACAGGGTTTCTCTGTGTAGTTTTGGTGCCTGTCCTGGATCTTGCTCTGTAGACCAGGCTGGCCTCGAACTCACAGAGATCTGCCTGGCTCTGCCTCCCGAGTGCTACGATTAAAGGCATGTGCCACCGCCACCCCCCCCCCCCCCCGGCTTTTTTTTTTTCCCCCGAGACAGGGTTTCTCTGTGTAGCTTTGCGCCTCTCCTTGAACTCACTTGGTAGCCCAGGCTGGCCTCGAACTCACAGAGATCCGCCTGCCTCTGCCTCCCGAGTGCTGGGATTAAAGGCGTGCGCCACCACCGCCCGGCCTTTTTTTTTTTTTTAATGTGAGTACTAGAGACCAAACTCAGGCCGTCAGGCTTGCACAGCCATTTCCAAGTGAACCATCTCCCTGGCTCTGAAAAGTAACTATTTCTATGAATCATTCCAGAAAAAAACTATTTTGGAGCATATTTAACATTGTTACTCATACAAGCAATGCCTTAATCTTGAAGCATTTTCTGTTTTTAAGTCAGTATCTTTTCCACACACTTTATGAAAACAAGTCCATTTTTTAAAGTTAATTATGGACAAGTAATCATTTTAAAGTGCCACGGCGTCAACGGAACTATAAATACACAGCGATTAGATAACTTCCCTTAGATGAGTGCCACGCAGCGACTCTTCACATTATTTTAAAACACTGGTCACGCTATGCAGAGAATGACAGGCTTTGGAGAACTTGGCCCTCAATGGGATGCTTTATCCAATTCCTCCCCTTGATGCTCACTAATCTATGCAGAAGAGGAGGCAGAAAGACTGTACGAGCCAGAGGGGAGAGACGACTCCAGGAAATAGCATCTTCCAGACACAACAGGCCTGATACGCATATGAACTCACAGAGACTGGGACGACGTGCAGAGGTCTGCCTGAGTCCAAACCAGACAAACAGAGAAGGGGATGTGGATGCAAAGTCCTCCCACAGGCAAGAAGTTATTTGCAACAGACACTCCTGGGAGAGGGAAGATCAGTTTCTCCAACGGAGCGTCACTGAGTATTATCGACCACACTCCAGGGCGGGCTCATGCCCCGGAGTGGGTGTCCAAAACCAAGTGGACTCCATGGTTTTCTGTTGTTGTTTGTTTTGTGCGTGTTTTGTTTTGGTATTTTTTGGTTTTTTAGTCTGTTTTGATTTTTGTTTTGTTGTTATTGTTGTTTCTTGGTTGGATGGGTTTGTCTTACTTTTTTTTAGAAAGTTAACATGAAGTTAGGTGTGTAGGGAGTTGGAAGGATCTGGGAAAGGTTGAAGGAAAAAGTATGACTATCTACAGTTGGCAATGTTCACTTAAATGTTTGTGAAAGTATCTTTAAGGAAAGTCTGGTTTAAAGGAAAGAAAAATGCAATTTTTAAAGGACAACCACTGGAACTTGACATTTCAATGTTGCTAATTACTTGCTGAGGGAAATACAGAAAGGTCTTAATGTTTTCAATGAAAACAAATCTGTTCTTTGATCGTGTGGCTGATACATTATTCATGAAATTATTAGCGACATAAAGAACAGTAGCAAACACTTCTTGAACCTTTATTATATGTCAGGCATTACTCGCTCAATCTTTAAAGTACCAGAAGCACAATAATGTTCCCATGGCATTGAAAAGCTGGTCAGGGCAGAGAGAGGCTGGGTAACTGGACAAACTTGCATACCAACTCCCAGTAAGAATGGCCAGGGCCACAATCTCACCTGTGGTGTGGGTCACTCCCACTGTATTCCTAGAATGTCACTACAACCTTGGCCTAGCTTCTGACCCTCTCTCAAAACACAGTTAGCAGAGACCTGTCTAATTAAGGGTGTCCAGTCTGGCTAGCACAGAGGGACACAACACACAGGGGCATGCCGTTAAGTCTTTGAAGGAGTAACTTAAGAACAGAAGCAGATACTCAGAAATGATGGAGACCCTCAGTGGGTGCGGTGCTGAAGGCATTACAAACTGCACAGAGGGATGCCAGACTCTCAGAGAACTCTGAGAAGGACTGTGATTCTTTCAGAATTACTAGCAACAGTTATGGGAACAGAACCAAAGTTCTCAGGATGTCCTTTCCAGGAAGAACTTAACATGGATAATGCTTCAAGTTTACATGTTATAAAGCTCCTAAACACACTGTCTTACTTGAATGTTAAAGTAACCTTGTGATGTATCTGAGTAGGAACTGTGTTTCTCTCTGCATAGAAGAGAAAACTAACACTAAGCATGGAAACTGGGTCATGAGCTCAAGGCTGTGTTTGGGGTGGTTTTTTTTTATTCATTTTACATACCAACCACAGATCCCCCTCTCATCCCTCCTCCTGGTCCCCTCCCCCGGGTTCTTTCCCCCATCCCCTCCTCCAACAGAGTAAGTCCTCCCATGGGGGGACAGCTAAGCCTGGTACATTCAATTGAGATAGGACCAAGCCCCTCCCCACTTTATCAGGGGTGAGCAAGGTATCTGACAAAATGTAATGGGATCTAGAAAGCCAGCTCATGCATTAGGTATAGATCCTGATCCCACTGCCAGGGGCCCCTCAAACAGACCCAGCTACGTAACTGTCTCCCATATGCAGAGGGTCTAGTCTGGTCCCATGCAGGGTCCACAGCTGCTGGTCTAAAGTTTGTGAGTTCCAACGAGCTTGGTTCAGTCTCTGTAGATTTCCCCATCATGGTCTTGACATCCTGCCCCCCTGCTCATGTAATCCCTCTTCCCTCTCTTTGACTGAACTCCTGGAGCTCAGCCTGGTGCACAATTGTGGATCTCTGCATCTACTTCCATCAGTTACTGGATGAAGGGTCTATGGTGACAGTTAGGGTATTCACCAATCTGATTACCAGGGTTGGCAGTTCAGGCACCCTCTCCACTGTTGCTAGTAGTCTAATCTGGGGTTGTCCTTGTGGATTCCTAGGAATTTCCCTAGCACCAGGTTTCTCCTTTACCCCATAATGTCTCCCTCTATCAAGATATAAAGCAAAGGATAATCAGACTACAACCCACAGCTCCAGAGAAGCTAGGAAACATAATAATATATGTATGTATAAAAATATCATGCACATCATAAATATAAAGATTTTCACTTGTCAATTTTTAAAAATTGTCTCTGGGACTGGGGAGAGTGCTCAATGGTCAGAGTCCCTTTGGACCAACATCAAAGTTGGACAGACCTGGTGACTGCCTATAATCCCAACACTCACAAGGCAGAGAAAGGGAATCCTAAGGCAAGCTGGCTAGACTAGCCAGAACTAGTAAGCTCTGGTTCAGGGAGAGATCCCACCTCAATAAATGAAGTGGAGAGCAGCTGAGGAAGACATCGAATGTCAAGTTCAGGCCTCCACAAGCATAGGCATTCACACACATTTGAACATGCGTATGTACACTCACACACACCACACACATATGCACATGCAAAAACAAAAACTGTGGCTCCACAGCAGAGATCCAGGTTGGAATGCACACTTCTTCATTTACTGGTTAATTGTGACTTTAAACTAGTTATTGAACACTTCTATGGACACATTTCATATGACTCTCAGGAGAATTAAATAATGATGAATCGATGTCATACACACCTAGTAAGCATTCAATGATGTTAGCCACTATTATTATTAAACTTCATATAATGGTATTTTCTATGAGCAGTACCTACACCACATCAACTTCTAATGAGGAGTAGAGAAGTAGACAGTAAAACTCACTCTTGTTAGCTGTTATGACAGTTAATCTAGTCAACAGAAGAGTATGTGCTCATGGAGACATCTTCAGTCTGAAATGCACGTTTTCAGAATATTCAGGATCAGAGTTTTATATAATAATGTACTATTCATAAATGACTCACTTCCTATTAAACTATATATTTTCTTACAGCTATAGAAAGACAAGATTGGGGGCTGGAGAGATGGCTCAGTGGTTAAGAGCATTGGTAGCTTTTCCAGGGGTCCTGAGTTCAATTCCCAGCAACCACATGGTGGCTCACAGCCAGCTATAATGGGATCTGTATGCCCTCTTCTGGCACACAGGTATACATGCAGATAGAGCACCATATACATAAAATAAATAAGTATTAATAAATTGTTTTAAAAAAAGAAAGACAACAGACTGCCATGCATAAGAAAAGGCTGTATGCAGACTGTCTTGTGACACCTGCACTTTAAAGATGTACAAAGATGGCACAGGGGACTCTGGTAGGTCCATGTTCCCAATCTGACAATTTTTAAAGTAGATATATTACAAGACTCACATGTCTGAAGACACTGGAAATGTATGCAAGCAACATGGACTTGACAAATCAGTATTCAAAAGAAGACGGCCTTAGTAGGTGAGGCAGTGGTCTCCATTTGGGACTTTAGGACCAGATAGCTCCACAGAAAATGCAATCAACACACTAATACTTATAGTACATACAGATATTACAGCTTTACTCGTTCTCATCTTTATTAGTTATGATTAACATTGAAAACGTACACAACAAAATACAGAATTCAATGTACTGAAGAGAACAGAAAACTTACTGATAGGATTTTCTAGTCCCGCTTCTAATCTCTCAAGCCACAGTATCAGGTTTTGTTCCGTTACAGACTGCGCTGAAGGAAATGCATACACTTGACCACCTGAGTGCAGATTCACCAAAAGCAGCTGAGGAAGCGGGGGCAGAGGGCCAAAATATGCCTTCAAGATTCCCCTCCCCACAGGAGTATTCTTTCTGCAAGAAAGGATGGTTGAATATGTTAATTATTCCTTCTATGACAACAGAGAAAATTATCATTTATAGAGCAGTAAACTTCAATGATTAGCCTGCCTGTAAGCTTATGAAAAGATTTCTCCAAGATCAAGAGGTCTACGATTATACAAGTCATCAAATTCTTTTGAAGTTTCTTTGTGACTTGGGGCAGTCTATCATGGGAGGAAAAAAAGACAGCCAGTGAACTTTCCATGAAAATCAAGAGCCTGAAGCCTTACCAACACAGGCTGAGACAATCAACAGGTTCTCCTGGAAGTTTAGAGAGGCACCCCATTGCATGTCAGCTCCAAACTAACCTGTGGCATAACTATAACAGGGTGCTTCCTTTTACGAAGACTTCTTTCCCCTAAGAATGTGCCTTTCCTCGGGAAAAACTGGGGAGGCTAACTGCACATCAAAGAGCTAAAAGAAGCTGGGCAATGGTGGTGCACGCCTTTAATCCCAGCACTCGGGAGGCAGAGGCAGGCGGATCCCTGTGAGTTCGAAACCAGCCTGGTCTACAGAGCAAAATCCAGGACAGGCACCAAAAAAAAGGTGGGGGGACGCTAAAAGAATAAATGTGTTCCTACAGGGAACTACACATTAAAGATGCCTAGCTTCCTGAGGCAGCATGTTTCACACGACATAAAACCCTAGATGTCTACCATGGTAGGTATCGGGGCAAACTTGCCTCAAGAGTGAGATGGAATGTTAAGAAGACTCCACAACATAAATGTGCATTACCACACTTTTGTTGCTTTTCAAGTAAGTTTAAAAAAAAGAAAGCATGTCTTCCATCTTATGAGTCTGAACAAGGGTCATGTGTGTACATGTGAATTGTATTCACAGACATTTAATGAAGTACCAGTCATTCATCTAGAAAACATGAAAAAAAAAACCACTTAGAGATGCACTGAATGAAACCCTTCTCCAATACTATGGGGTGACTTTAACTACACAGAGACACAAATGAAAGTTTGCAAATATCACAACGCTTCCTTTCTTATTTGCCACTGCTTTCTTGTCTTTTTTTCCTTCAGCGCTGAGGACCGAACCCAGGGCCTTGTGCTTGCTAGGCAAGTGCTCTACCACTGAGCTAAATCCCCAAACCCTTTGCCACTGTTTTCAACAGACATCAACTACTTTTAAAATCAGAAAAATATTGCTTGCAATTATTTTAGAATAATAGTCAAGTCTAAATAAGGTCATCTTGGAACTTGTCTGAGAAAGTTAGTTCGGAAAATAACATTATGATGAATTTGGTCCCATGTTAACTATAAAGGTTACAGAATTTCATTTCCTAATGAAAATGAACTAATTGTATTTCCTTTATGGAGCTGAGAGTGGCCTTGAACTCATGAGTCCTGTGATTATAGGTACGCACCACACCACAGGCTTCCCCCACCCTTTACCTCTTAAGTCAAAACAAAATCATTCCACATATACTTACAAATTTAACCAGCAGGGGGTGAAGGAATCCAACTGCTTCCGTCTCACCAGCGCTAGAGCTGTGCTCCTAAACTGAGGGCTTATGCTGCCATCACTGAACAAGATAAGCAACGGCCTCTGAAGTCTGAAGTATGCGGGAAGATTCTCCACAGTGATTTCTGGCTGTTAAAAAAGAAGCACCCAAAATTCCCCAAACAAAAATCGTGGGCATAATACAGCATAAAGCAGAAACAATGCTCAAGTCACTCAAACGCGATTTTAGTTCATAAAATGTAATTCAAACATTTTCATTCAGAGATCTGACCACAGTAAGTAAATCTTAAGTGCTTCAAATTCAATCCTACCTCATGGTAATGAATTATAGTCAAAATAAAATTACTAACAGACTTTAAGAACATACAAGCTTTAAGAACATATTAGGCAGTGGTGGCACATGCCTTTAATCCTAGCACTCCAGAGGCAGAGGCAGTCGGATCTCTGTGAGTTCGAGGCTGGCCTGGTTTACAAAATGAGTTGCAGGACAGCCAGGGCTACACAGAGAAACCCTATTTCGAAAAATCAAAAATAATAATAATAATAATTTTTTTAAAATGTTAGAAAAGGACTTATTAGCTGATGCCTCTATAATAATTCATGATGAACTCTGGATCCATATTAGCTAATACACACATAATAAAACTCTTTCATACTTACCTCTAGTAAGGTTTTCTGGTTAAAACATAAGCTAAATGTTGAAATTATAACCTTTTTCCCACTATCCATGCTTAGCTTACTTCTTCCAAACATATGAATTTTTTGGAAGATTAAAATAATTAAAGATGTGCTAAAACAAACCTCAAAGCCAACCTTACCTCTCCTGAGTTTAAAGCAACTGACAGGAATTTAATGAAGAGTAAGTACTCTAATCTTCTACTATTTTAAGTTCTATTTCACAGGCGCATCCTGCTGTGGACTCAGTGCAGTAGTACTGCGCCCCCTGGAGGCATCTGTGAGCTAGAAACATCATCTCCCATCGGATGGGAAATGGACCCAGAAGTTCAGTGAGCGAAGGAGCTTAACGGAATGCAGCATGCAGCCTACCAGCTTCCTATTTCACTCAGTCACTAGAAACCGTCATCAACAACCTGACTTTTTTAGATGATGCCAGTGACCTTTGTCAGTATTACCTCACCTTTGAACATCAAGCTGGCACATGCCTTTCCCTATTTAGTTCTCAAACCGCCTTCCCTCTGCCAATCATTTCTCTTCCACTTCTTTCTCTTTGTACTTAAAATCATCATCTGTATTTTCCTACATCACAAGCTAAATACCAGGTCTGTTTCTTCAAATTTCCTAGGCTGGCTTTCTGTGCTAACTACTGTCTATCTTTTCATGTGTCCCACTCCCCTCCTAGACGCTGACAGATGTCACCGAGCCCCAGAAACAGGAGATGAGGATGCTGACTTCCACTCAACTTATTTACAGAGAACTAAGAAGCTTGAAACATTATGCTAAGTGCTTCTTAAGGAACTTCCCAGCCGACAAAGAGTTTACACATTAGAAGAGACAGGCATTCAAACTGCTGGGGTCCTGGACCACTTTGCATGTTTGACAGTGAGGAAGCCTACCTGTCAGAAAGATAAGATGGGGGACTCGGGATTTGAGGAAGTGTCACTTTGATACAGTCCCTGTATAAAGAGTAAGATCCTGACAAGCTGAGGTTTGTCCTCCAGCACGGAGCTACAAACACTGAGAGATATTACAAGAGCAGGCAGAGCTGTTAAGGCTACGTGGGGGGCAGTGGTGAGCTGAAGGATGGCAGCACAGGGAAGGCAAAAGGCAAGTGTAACTGTGAGAGCGGACAGGAGCCCCTCAGCAAGTCTTCCCGCTCCTGAGAAAAATGCAGATTTTGTATCCGATTAGTGACACGGACAGGCTGGCCTGTTTTCAGTTGGATGACTAGATAGAATAGGAATTTGTGAAAAAAAAGGTCAGTGATGGACAGTCTCCTTTTCCTTATCAGTCAAGAAAGACCAAGATATCTGAAAGATGACCAATATCCACCAAGAGGAAAACAGTTAAGTAAACATGGAACATTAACACAACCAAATATTGAGCAGATACTAAAAATAAGCACTTATATGCATTTTCCTTCATGAAAATATACTTAAGATAAAAAGACATAGATAATTGTTTTTAGATTTTGGAGAAATATATTCTCAAGTTTAAACCTGGAGAAGTTACAGTTGGCTCTAACTTCCTTCTCTATTATTTTTTTTTATTATTTGAAAAAATATAAAGTTACTATACCATGTATATAGACAGTAAGGTCACATTTCCTTAATAGCATGTCTCTTAAAAAGACTACTGCAATAATGATTTAGAAAGTTACATACTGGAAAATATTAACTCAATTATTTGATTGATTAAACCCTTTCGTTTAGCAGGAGGGTCAGGAGGTTGGACTCAAGGAAACAAAGAGACTGGTTTTAAAGACTGCATTTATTTGAGTCCCTAATGTATCAGTATTTAGGTCATTGTGGGAAGAAAGGTGATGGGCGACAACTCACTCAGTATTTAGAGCTGCGAATGGTAGCCTGTCATCACTTTAGAAAGGCAGACCTGTGGACAAACGTGCAATGCTCTAGCTACTGAAATCAAGTAACCAGGTTACATCCGTTAGGGGCAACACAAAGGGGACCAGAAGGTGGCATTTTCCAGCTGTACAAACCGCAACAATAGCTAACACTTGCTGAGCTTTTGCTCTAGAGCCAGACACCCTCTACAAAGTGGCATTCCTCTGTCAGTTAGTCTAACTCCTAGTGGTTCTGCACCTTACACATGGGAAACTTGGAGCAGCAAGGCACCACAGAGCCAATAAGACTCGAAAGAATTTGTAACCAGGACGTCTGCATTTCTAGGACCACCTGCACTGGAACAAGGGTTCACCCTACCTTGGGCACTTCGGCTCCAGAAAGCCACGTAAATTTTTAGCAGCAAACTCGAAAAGCTTTGTGTGTCATCGACAAATAGCAAAACCAAACCAAAAAAGTATTCAGCCACAAAACATGACACCCCAGTGCCTCCCAAAGCTGAAAACTTATATGCTAATAGATATCACCACTTATCAATGTGAATTTCATTTCAAACGACTTCCTTATTCTATGCGGTATACTCACAAATGCTTCCAGGGGCGCATTTGCTAGGATCTCAACCATGTCTTGCACTGGGGTGGAGGCCAGTGGAACACTCTCTATTCTACCTTCTCTGGGCCTGGCCAGCAGCATGGCTGGGAGAGTTGCGGCATATTTATTTGACCTATGGAGAAATATACTATTAAAATTCACAACCAAAATATAGCAAGTTACCAAAAACATGAAGAGCCAGCCCAGGCCCTCCCTGTGGAGGCAGCACAGGGAAGCCTCACTGCTAGCTGGTAAGATGGGATGACTACAACCCCCACTACGAGAACTGAGGAAAGGGATCATGGGTCTGAAGCCAGCCCAGACTATACACTGAGACACCGTCCCAAACAACCAAAGTTTAAAACCTTAAAAAGCCCTAGTGCTAAGGAGAAATTTATCTCAATTTCCAGACCAATTTATAAGTGAGGTTATCTGAGAAAGTTTGGGAGTCTTGACAATCTCTGTTATAAGAAAATGACAATGATCTAAAGCTGTCTTCTCTACAGCTCACCCTCAAGAAAATGTGTGAGTAGGACCTGGAACACTCCGTGGCTCTCCACCTTTCTGGATTGCTCATCGCATGCCTGAGTAAGGCAGGGCACTGACGGGAGTCTACAGTCTGCCGGGTACTATAGTCAGCACCTTATCTATCTTCATTCAACAGAGTACTTCTAAAAGTAGTTTCTGTCATCCTGTCTTAGAGCTGAATGGGGCTCAGAGAGCAAAAACCACAAGACACTGAACTCCTGAGGTGCTCTAGAGAGTATGTGAAGAACTCACTTTTGCTACTAAATCTAATAAAACCCAAATCCTCTAAGTGAAATCCTCTATTTTCAAGTGAAAAATGTTCAGTGTGCCATGGCCAGTAAAGGTATATGGTGTGAACAAGGAGGAAGTACAGACACTACAATACCATAAGGTTGGTAAAGAGCCCACTCCAGATCTCCCAGAACGGGCACCAAGTTGATGAGCTGGCTATAAACCAAACACTCTGAAAAGAGTACTGGCCCAGCTCTTTATATCTTAAATGCCAATTAACAGCAGAAAATAGTATGTGACTACAGTTTATCAAATAGATAGGTCTCCTATATCCTGGTTCAATACATACGTTCTATTAAAAAAAAAAATGACTAATTACAGAAACTGATCTAAAGTTCCCCATCGAGAAGAGTTCAAAATTAAAGGCCTTGAGTTCAGACATCAGAATTAGTAACGCTGTAGTCAGAAAATTGAAAACACAAACTACAGGTGCTTGTAAGTCCATTTGCATCATGATGAATGTCATGTGTGTTAATGCAAATCTCCAAATATGCAGTTTAGTCCTTCAAGCTATAGCGATACACCAATAGAGTACACTGGTGACCCACAGCAATCCCACCTTCCATCGGCAGAACAAGTGAAGTTTTAATACATTTTTACATATTCTTTGGTGGCAAACAAAAACAGCAACCGGGAAATAAAATCTTCAACACTGTAAAGACTCCAAAGACAAGTCAAAGCACAAATAACAGGATCCAAAGGCAAAAACTTTTATAGGAGCAAAAGTAAGTATAATCACTTCTGTAGGTGCTTCAAAATTAAGTAGGAGCCCAAGATCACGCCTATGGGCACTTCAAAGCGGGTATTTAAAGAAGCTAACAGCACAGCACTTCCCAGACATCTTCCAGGAAGAAAAGTAAACATGTAGAATACTGTCGTGGGTGGATACAGATGGGAGCAGAGGGGGAGCGGGGCAGGAAGATGGGAGACCAGGCCAAGTATTTATGAAGTTCCAGACACCTGTCACCTTGCATGTTGGTTGAAAATTAACTTAAGATTCTTCTTGATCCCCATATCAACTGTGAAGTGGCACATTATACTGCATCGTTTCATCTGCCCCTGAATTAGAAGAGCAACAAACTTACAGTATCCAAACATCATCCTCAGAATAAACTCCCGTGATGACAGAGCCTCTCAGCTGCTTCCCCGCTTCCCTGAAATGTTCTTTTGCTGCACAGACACAGACGAGAGAAGCTTGAGAAACTCTAACATTATGTGTACTAGGCAGCCTACACAGGCTTTCCAGATGGTAGAACTTCATTACCATTAAACTACAAAGATTAATACTTAAGTGCAGACACAGAGCAGCTAAAACAAATCTGTTTTGTGGCACTGTTGCTAAAGAGATATTTATCGATATGACACAACCGTGGTTTCCTAAACAAATGTTCTCTGAGTGTCAGTTTTAAGATTGATAGCACTCAGGGGCTAGAGAGATGGCTCAGTGGTTAAGAGCACTGACTGCTCTTCCAGAGGACCTGGGGTTCAATTCCCAGCACCCACATGGCAGCTCACACCTGTCACAACTCTAGTTTCGGGGCTTTTGACACTCTCCCACAGACATACATTCAGGCAAGACACCACTGTACATAAAATAAAAAATTTTAAAATGTATAGCCCTCTAATCATACAGAATAACCAAATAAATAGTTGGTATTTTTGAATGTACTGCGGAAGCCAGGGAAATGGACACAGCTGTCTTCTTACATACAGCCTAGAGAGAGGTGCAAGTATATGACATGATATGATATGCACCTTAAAATTGCAAACACACACACACGCACACACCTATGTACCACACATGAAGCAAACATGAAATAAAATAAAAGAGTGTGCGCGAGTGGCAACTCTACTTACCTGATGTCATGGCTGGACTGAAGAGCCCCAGTACTGACACACTAGTAACACTGAACAGGTCTTTATATAACTCCCCATGTAAGTATTTTTCTGCTTCTTGGATGGATGCTATGTTCACTGGGCAGGAGATCCTGTTTCTGGATAAACATATAACTATACTCAAAATTAATTTTTAAAGATATTTTCCAGTTTGTTAAAAAAAATAGAACCTAGCAAACAATATATTACATAGACTATTGGACAAAATTATTCTTTTAAAAAGAATCTGTCTCATTAAATGAAAGTGACAGACCATGCACAAAGTTTCACTGTCAACATTTACTCTGTGATCTCAGGCTAGTATCCCCCTGAACCTATTAAAAGCATGTCAACAAAGGGTAGAGTTGAGCTACAGACCTCAACCCTAGACATCTTCAAGTGAAGCTGAATACTCACATCTGAATAAACTTCAGGAGATCTTTCGTTCCCAACATGCCCGTGTAAGACACTGGGCTCTCACCTTCCTTATACAACTTTACCACAGGAAATGCAGTGACATTTTCCTTCGTACATACATCAGACCAATCTGCACAGTTTATTCTAGTGAGGAGGATAGTGGATGTGCCTGAATTAAAGAAAAATGCGCACGTCATAAACACTAATGTAGAATGCTCATGGCTCAGTTTCCCTATCTTCCAATCCCACTCACTTTAAGTGCCCGGCATGACACACTCCTGCAGGACTCTCTTCCTCTGTAAGACCTTCCCTGTTGGCTTTTTCCTGTCTCTACAGCTTCTCCCCTTTGGACCCTTCTATAGGCTCTTCTATTACTGGAGTTGGGACCCGCTTAAGCCTGAGTTTAAAGTGCTTTTCCTCTTGCTCTTTTTCAACAATCCCAGGAATGACCAACAATCCAATACAGCCTACACTTGTATCTCTGGCCTCAACTTCTTGAAGTTCCAGACCCAGCTCTCTTTAGTGGTGGCTCTGTTACCCTGTGAATGAACACATCCTCAGACTCTACAAGTCTGAGACTAAATAGTTCCATTCTGTGCAGTGATGAAGGGGGCCTCTCTGGTGCAGCTATGGGGGAAAAAAAAAAAAGAAACTTCTTTCACGCCTCTCTGTTTCTAAGTTTCCCATGCCTACCCAGCCAGTATCTTTTCAGTTTCATCACTCAACTTTTACATGTTTCCAATTATTTTCTATTTATATTATTGCCAGTATTATTCTTTTTTTTTCTACAATGGGCTTCTGATTCCCTTCCCATATTCCAGTATCTCTAAAATACTCCTAGAGACACAATATTCAAACTCCAACCTGTTCTGGTGACCGGCACACTCCTCCTCACCCATCTCCCATCGCTGTTTTGTTACCAGCCCGCCCCACCAAGCTTTGTAGTGTAGGTATCGGTCAACATGACACTGTCATGGCCGCCTGGCCCGGCCCCCCACCTGCACCAGCTCCCTTTGCCACATGCGATGACAGAACACATTTACTCATTTCCTCGTCAAGTTTTGTGGCCCTGCCTTCATCCACATTGCTGACTAGTGTCTGTCTCTGTGAAGAGAACTCCTTGGGAGAAGGGACTGTGCCTGTTTTCTTCACCATCGAAGCACCCATCTGGGGCCTCAGCTATCACCCCCATCTAAAGACCATAATTTCTTTTCAGCCTAGGAAAATGCATAGGATATAAAGCTCACAGTCTTACTTGTTCAACAATGAAACAGGTAAAGAGCTATGAAATATATAAATCGTTGGGTGAAAACAGATTTTAAAAATCAACTAACACAAGCAACACATAATTAAGCTATGAAAAAAAATAAATTCGTTCTAATAAAAAGTAAGAGCTAATAAATTAAATTAAGAAATCTGTATCAGTTTAAGACTTCCATGTATAACAAAACTATATGACTCAAATTATGGAATGTATTGGTTTTGTATTTTATAATAAAAAGTTTTTAAATTTTATTTATTTTTGTGTGTGGTGTTTTGCCTGGATGTTTGTGCACAATATGCATGCATGGTGCCCATGGAGGCCAAAAGAGGGCATCAGATGTCCTGGACCTGGAGTTACAGACAGGTGTGAGCTGTGGGTGCTGGGAATCAAACCTGGGTCCTCTGGAAGAGCAGCCATCACCACTATAAATGGTTTTGAATAATGTAAACCACCTTTATGATTTAAAAGAATTCTAGCTCCCAGAAGTAATAACATCACTTCAGATTTAATGTTGCCTCTGCTTAATAAAACAGTGTAAGACTCACCACTATAATCCCAGTACTTCCTAAGTACATATCCCATAGAAATGTGGGAATGCATGCTGTTATTTCTTTGCAGGTATATTAAAAATGTTTAAGTCAAAGTATATTACTACTGGAACATTAAATGAACTAATAAACAAAGGGACACCCTCTTACTCCTGAGAGCAGACCTGCTGGCAGTTTTTTGCCATTCTCTACCCCTAAGTCATGTTGCTATAAGTTAGTGCCACCTGCTCCTTGACAGCGTCATAACTGCTATCTACATGTGGAACTCAGTGAACGCTGTGACACACGTCTTCTCTACTGCAACTGTCCTCAACATGTCAGACCCTCCTAAACTCTTCTCTCAAAACTGAAAGCTGATTTTTCTTGTAAATGAGAAAGAGCACTGACACATGTTATTTAAAGTTATAAGACTCCTTATACTGGAGGAATTAGTTTAAAAAAAAAATGGATTCGCTGTTGATTTATATTTCAGTTAACAATCTAATATGCCTAGAGGACTACATCCCATGCATTTCATTAACATATTAACTTCAAATAAAATTTCTAATCTGAAAGGGGGATTTTCTTTGACATTGTGACTATGTAGGTACCCAAAAAAATAAATAATTAATTAAATCTGATATTTGCTGCCACCTTGTGGCGGAGGGAAAAATACTCATCATCTTGGACTTCAAAAACTGGCTTTTTCTCAAAAGGCCAACATCAAAGACAGAATATAGGATTAATGTAAAAAGTACTACAATGTTTTTATAATGAAAAAATTAGGGTACAAGTTGAATATCATTTTGGTAGTGCATATGCTTGGAAAGAGGATGGTCAAATACGTGGTTTTATACTGATCGATGGGCTGTAGCCAATGGTTGGCTGGATGGTTGGGGACTTGGAAGAAGTAAGATTGAGAATTAGTAAGAAAGACATTTGGGGGAAAAGTATATGGACAGAGCTCATCAAATTGTCAAAGGATGCAAAGACACTTTTGTGCCCCCCAAAAAATGCCCATCAAAAAGGCACTTCACTACACAGAGAAACCCTGTCTCGAAACCCCCCTCACCCCCAAAAAAAGGCACTTCAATGAGGAGCTTAATAATCAAGCTGACAGGATGACCTACTGTGGAGAGGCAGCCTCTTTCCCAGGCTATCCCAGTGGACCCATGGTTGTAGAGATGGCGGTTACACAAGGGCTCAACAACACGGACTTCCACTCACCAAAGCTGACCTGGCTTACAGCTGCTGTTGAGTGCTAGATCTGCCTGTAGTAGAGACCAGCACTGAGCTGCGATTATATGACACATTCCCCTGGGTGTCTAGGTGCCACCTAGTGGCAGACTGACTACACTGGACCATTATAGAAAGGGTAGCACATTATTCTTAACCAAACATACTTTGGATATGAATTTGCCCTTCCTGAAAGTAATGCTTCTTGTAACACGAACTGCTAAATGGTCTTTTAATTAAAAAAAAAAAAAAAAGACCCGGAGCCAGATATTGGGGTAAATGCTGAAAGATTAGAGAAACAAAGGAATAAGCCACACAGCTCAAACCTCGCCAACTCCATGAATCCTCTGACTGAATGTCTCTGAGTCCTCACCTGAAAGGCTCCAGCCAAAAAAAAGCCTCTAGTTGAAAGAGATGCTTCTTCCGAAAAGGCTGTCTCCTCATGCCTTATATACCTTTCTCCACCCAGCTTTCACTTCCTGGGATTAAATGCATGTATGCTTCCCAGTACTGGAATTAAAGGTGTGTGCCACCACTGCCTGTCTCTGTTTTCTCTCTTAGACTGAGTCAATCTCATGTTGCGGGTGGCTTTGAACTCACAGAGATCCAGATGGATCTCTGCCGCCCGAGTGCTAGGATTAAAGGTGTGTGCCACCACTGCCTGGCTTCTATGTTTAATCTAGTGGCTTGTTCTGTCCTCTGATCTTCAGACAAATTTCATTAGAGTACACAATATATCACCACAGCTTCTGACAAAACTACTATCCATGGACTGACAGAAGGCCTTATCCACCATCATGATATTCCATCCATGGACTCACAGAAGGCCTTATCCACCATCATGATATTCCATCCACTGACTGATAGAAGGCCTTATCCACCATCATGATATTCCATCCATGGACTCATAGAAGGCCTTATCCACCATCCTGATATTCTATCCATGGACTGATAGAAGGCCTTATCCACCATCCTGATACTCTATCCACTGACTGATAGAAGGCCTTATCCACCATCATGAAATTCCACTCAGCACTTCTTTGAACCAGGGGACTCACTTTGCAGTAAGGAAGGGCAGCAGTGAGCTCATACATAGAGAATTCCCTGGTCGTACCATGTCTCCCATCCTTCTGAAGTAACCTGACAGAATAATGGACAGCCTTCTAACAACACAGCTACAGTGCCAACTAGGTGACACTGGCCTGGAGGGCTGGAGCTGAGTTCTCCAGAGAGCTGTGTGTGCTCTGAATCAGCACCCGATATACTGTACAGGATTCAGGCGTCCAGGAAGCAAGGGGTAGAAACAGGAATGGTGCCCCTCACCATCACCTCTAGCAGCCCACTAGAAAAAACTTTGCTTCCTGTTCCTGGGACTTTACGCTGCTGGCCTAGATTGAGGTGGTATCAGTAATTACACGCTGTAATTCTACAGTATCAAAGCTCTAGGACGCTAAAAGACTAGGCATTCCTCAAGGGGTCTTCTTTTCACCTGCTTTCAGGGGAAACAGCGTCATTGGTGGTTGTAAGTGAGACAGTCACATTACAATAGACAGAATTATGACTTGCTATGGTTTTCGCCTGGAAATTCAACACGACGTATGGAGATAAGATTGGGTGTTGGGTTCACAGGGGTGGACTTGTGATGGTTATTCTTGGTTGTCAACATAACTGGATTTAACTGGAATTAACTGAGAGGTGAGCTACTGGGCATATCTGCAAAGGATTTCCTTGATCGGGTTACGTAAAAACACCCACCCTACATCTATGTAGAGCTTTACCATGGCAGCCAGATAAGGACATTCTGAGGGAAAGGTTTGGCTTTTTGCTTCACTGCTCTCATGTCTTACTGGTGAGTAGATTCACCCTGTTGGAAAATTCATCTACTCAGTTGCTGCTGCCTTTACTGCCAATATATTCTGCTGCTGATATCAGAGCCTAATTCTTTAAGCTTCCAAAAGAGACGGAACTGGTGGCCCCGCAGGAATCCTCAGACCTTCAGCACCACTGGAACTGCAGAGACATCCAGCTTCGTGGACTGGGTAGCTCCTGGGCTCTCAGGCTTCTCAGTGTGAAGACAGCCACTGATTGATTACCCAAGCATATCGAGTAAACTAATCTAATCCCCTTTAATATATTCATTCT